GCAACAAAACATCAATAATTAAGAAACATTAATAAATAAGATAAATAAGGACATTAATAAAGACATTAATAAATAAACCGCATTAAAAAATAAGGACATTAAATAAAAAACATTAATTTACAAGAACAATAATACAAACTTTTTGAAGGAACAATTAATTATGACAACTCAAGACTTCACCAAGCCGTTTTATCACAGTTACGAAGATGAAAACATAGAGGATTTCTTCTTTGACTTCAAAATATATGCAAAGCTGTGGGATGACAACAAGAAAAAGAAAGTGATCAACTACACGTGGCAGAAAAGACAAGAGGATGGGTGTGCGAGCTAATAAAAAGCGCAAATTCCTGGGCGGACCTAAAAACTGAGATGGAAAAGGCTGTGAAAACAAAATTTCACATTGAAGAAAAGATTGTAAAATTAATGAAAATGAAACAAGAAGATAACGAATCCGTAGTTGGGTACACCAACAAATTCGAATCTTTTGCATATGCAATAAAAGATGAAATTCGTGACAGAGAAAAGCACAAATGGTTTATTGTGAGATTAAAGCGAGAATATCAGTCAAAAGTGGAAGAACGTTATCTAGCTGACTATCATGAAGCAGCAAGTCTGGCTGTGAAGATCGAAAGGTACGAAAAAGACAATGAGTATAATGTTCAAAGCGTGAAAAAGACACTACTCAAAGAAACAAGTGATACTAAGGATGTTGATGAACTAACAAAGGCAATGAAAGCCTTGAAGATATCCCGAATTGAGAAAAAGCCTGATAATGACATTCAAGAGATAAAAGATGCAATAAAGAAAATGACTAAAGTAATAAAGGATCTCACAAAAAGAAAAAATACTCAATGACATTACAATCGGAATATGGTGCTTCAGTGTTTCACGTGTCAGAAAGACGGCCATATGTCATGTGATTATCCAGAAAAAGTACCAAAAGATCGTTCTGTCAACAAATTTGAAGAATATCAAATTAAAGAACGAAGTATGAATAAAGAAAATGTAAAACAAAAGGGACCCGATGTACGTTTGGTGGAACTCACTAATGAAAAGTCGAAATGTAATGGGGAATATTTGTTGGTTGAACTAGTTGGCGAAGAACAAGGTATAGGAGATGTTAGAAATCTAGAAAAAGGAAGCATGATGAACATTTAGTAAATGAAAAGCCTAATAAAAGGGGAAGATCGAAAAAGACATTAGAAATGAAGCCAAATGAACCATCGATAAATCAAAAGTATAATGATAAGAGTACTGTTATGTACATACCATTAACAGAATTGACAGAAGATCCGATGTGCTGAAGGCTGTCCTGATTTGAAATTCATTTTTTTGACTGGGCAACTATTTAAGTGGTCACCCAAAGCTAGAAATGAAATCATGAGGGTGTTAGCCCGAAAAAGGAAAGCAGAGGATGTTATAGATGTGGATGTTAGGCTAAGATTCATTAAAGAAAATAAAATGTGACAGAATAAGAATGAGATAGTACTCATGTAGTCTGCTTTGATTAACGGAGACCCAGTTAATGTGCCAATTGATCCCAGTTCCCGTCTAAAGTTGATGCATACAAATTATGCAAAAAAAGGGGACTGTGATGGGATCGGGCTTATGGAAAAGGAAGGATGGCAGATGATAGTATAAGTGAATTCAGAGGATATATACCAGAAGTAGAGGTTGAAATGGAAGGAGTGAAAACAAGTCAAAGCCACTATATAATTGAATCGGTGAGCTTCAATGTTTTATTGGGGATGCCGTGGATAGCTGGAGCGCAATGCATTCTTAGTTAGAAAAAAAATGAATACTGGTGTACCGTATCTTCATCAAACAGAGAATCATCATTTATTGTCTTAGAAGTGCCGTGGAATTGGATTGAAAAGGACAAAGATACTGACGATGATGAAACTGAAGAATATGATGACAACGAAGACGAATTCAATCAAGTGATAGTGTAAGAAGATTTCAACTAGTATAAAATAGTGAAGTAAGACTGAACATTGGTGAAGAACCATTAAGAAATAAAAACAAACAAGACAAATTACGTGTTCAAGTATCACCTGAATCCAAAGATCAGCTGAAATTATTAAAATCAGTTGCATTACGAAAACTGATATTAGAGAACGTAGATTTCTTCAGCTTTGGGTCAGAACGTCGACCAGAAGAAAAACAATACGTAAAAACCCGGTTAATAAATGAAGTATCAAAAACATTCGCATTCAACTTATCTGAATTGGGGCATACTGATTTAGTAGAATATGAAGTTAGGACAGGTGGTGTGGAAATACCACAGATGAGATTAAGGCCAATTAGGATTAACAATCCAGAGAAGGCCTAATTATTTGAAGAATATTTGAAGGAGATGATAAAATATGGGTTGTTGGAGGAAGGAAACGGGCCATATGCATACCATTGTTTTCCGGGTGGACAAAAAGGAAGGTGGTACTGATCGAATACGTGCAGTAGGCAATATGATACCATTAAACAAAATATAGTTAAGGACAGTTATCCGCTACCAATCATATGAGATATACTCAAAAAAGCAGCAGGTCATGAATGGTATTCAAGTGTGAATGCATTCAAAGGATACTAGAGATACGAATCTGAGAAGAAGATCATGATAAGGTGGCTGTTTCGACGACGTTGGGAGTATTACGGTATACTGTTATGTGTATGGGTTGAAAAACGCCAGTGAAACCTTTCAGAGTTTAATGGATTTGGTTCTAAAAGGTGAAAAGTGCAAGAGGTTATCTGCAGCATATCAAGATGACGTTGGGTTATGGACGGATGGCGACTTAGAGGATCATGTAGATACATTTATAGAATTAGCCAAGATATTTGAAAAGGCTGGACTTACATTTACCACAAAGAAATACCACATAGCATGTAGAGAATTGGACATGTATGGGTATGTAGTAAGTAGGGAAAGAATAAAAGTAGATAAGAAAGAAATAAAAAGGATACAAGAATGGCCAGAACTGAAGAACCAAACTGAAGTAAGGTCATTTCACGGTCTGTAGGGTACTATCGATGTTTCATAAAGAATTTTAGCGAAATTGCAAGGCCAATAACTGATTTAATGAAAAAGGACAGTGTGTTCATTTGGGAAATGAGACAAAAAGAATCATTTAATATATTAAAGGAGGTATTGTTAGAGAAAGTGGTGTTAAAAAAACCCAATTGGGAATATGCCAAAAACGGTGAAAGACCATACCAGCTATACACTGACACGTGTGAAGTTTCGATTGGCACAATGTTGGAACAAGCCGATGATAAAGGCAATTTGAGGCCAATAACATTCGAATCAAGAAAGCTGAATAGACACGAGTTGCATTACACTGTGACAGAAAAGGAATGCCTGGCGATAGCATTTGGGTAGTAATGAACGTTATGTTGGTAGAACAAAGTTCGATGTGTGGGTAGACCACAGGTGCTTGAGTGGCTGTTTAATAAAGCTGAGCTCAAGAGAAGGTTAATGTGTTGGGTATTAGCCCTACAAGCATTTGAATTTAATGTCTGTTATAAAAATGGAAAAAGGCATAGCAATGCCAATAGAATATCGAGATACCTGGTGGACTGTATGGATGAAAGAAAGAATGATGATGAGTTTGTTGATGGAAAAATAATGAGTGTAAGAAAGTTTGATAATAAAAAACAAGACTTAATATGGATAAAAGAATATTTGAATAATTTGAAGTGGCCAAGTGAGGTGAAGGCAACGGATTTGGCGTGGCTGCGACAAAAGATGAAGCGCTATTGTATTATTAGAAAAGAACTATATAAAAGGGAAAGGGTGAAGTTCCACCTAAACGAAAGATATTTGATAAGTATGAAAAATTTAAGATATTAGAAGCCAATCACAGAGGAACGGCTGAAGAAGAGAGGCACCATGCAATTAATGCTACCGCAAGAAAAATACTGATGAATTATGGTTGGGCATCTGGAAATGTGTATGAAGATGCTGAAAAATATGTAAAATCCTGTCTTGAATGCCAAAAATGCACAATGAAGTCGATTAAAGAACTGATTCACGTGACTGCAACGAGTTAGATTTTTCATAAACTATATATTGATTGTCTGGGGGCCATTTATACTTGTTGGCAAAACCTATGGGATTTGGAATTGGGCTATGGACAAACCTGGACAAATAGGTTTGTCCATATATATTTAAAAATCCTATATGGCAAAACTGGACAAATCCCAATCCCAAATCCCAAACCTATCCCAAATCCAAATCCCAAATCCCAATTCCAAATCCCAATTCCAAATTTTAAACCTTTGAAATCTGGAGTTTTCCAAAGAAAAACTTTTTTTTTTACTAAATAAACCTCTTTTTAACTTTTAAATAAAGTTGTAAAGGAGAATGTCTTGCGGATTCCCTTATGTCAAGAAAATCGATGTACAAAAATTAGCTCAGAGCCAATAAAAATTGCAGAATCTTGCAGATCT